TAAAAAATGTTACTTTGATAATATTCCTTAATTAATAAATTATTACCATGGCGTGTGTTGTTTCTATAGAATTGTGTAGTCACAATTTTTTGTTTTCTTTAACCGTCTCTCTCTCTCTCTCTCTCTTTTTTGAAAGAAAACCTCTATTCATTGCAAATCGTCAAGGGCAGCATCAGTAACAATCTTGGGGAAGTTTACAAACCATACCCTGCTTCTCTTAAGAGATAACGACAATTTTGACATGATGAGGGCAGGAACATTTTTGGTCCTCCTTACATAACTAACCTTAACAAAATCAAAAGAATTCAGCATAGATCTGATGCCATGAATTAAATTACCTATCAATGACAAATCGGGTTCATTGCTATTAATCCTTTGAATAATATTTAAAGCATCCCCTTCGAGCAAAAAAATGTGTGATTCCAAAGTCTCTTCCAAAAAGCACTAAGAAATGCCAAGCATTCCACACGTTCTGCATTGTGAGCTCCATTAACCCGTGCAGCCATTACAGCCTCCACTTGACCCAAGTGATTCCTGACCACCACACCAACTCCAGCTGCTTCTTCAAAGAAGGCTCCATCCGCATTAATTTTCAGATAACTCTCATCTGGTGCAACCCATTTGGTAGTCTCCATATGTCGTCGTGTTCCTTTCTTGTTGTGGATATTCCAATACTCATGTAAGAAATGTGATAACTCGAGAAAATTATGTGTATGCTTTGCATTTATTTTATTTTATTTATTTGCTTTGATATTAGAAATATAACATATAATGATTAAATAGTTAAATTAAATGTCTAATTGAATCCCTATAAAATTGAGAATTTAGAAAATATCCTAGAATAGTGTAGAAAAATTTTATGAATTAAATAAATATATGGTATGCATATAGTAATTTATGTCATTTGCAAATATTACTAGACACGTAACATATACTAGAAGTTCAATAAGTATATGTCTAATAAGTTTTTCTTAAAGCTAAATGTGTCATAATCGACTAGATCAACGTAAGAAAATTTTCCACGAAAATACAAATTAAGTTAGGAGTGATTGTATGAAATAATAAACTAAAAGACCAAATTAACCTTGGATTTCGGATAAACTACCATGCAGCCACGCAAGTCATCAGAATTTCACAAAACAAGAACCGAGAGAGGAAATACTTGGAGGGATTAGAACCTACTGGAAGCTAGATAACTGTCTGTTAAGTTCAAGCGGTGGAAAGGAAAAGGAGTAGAAATTGTCTGACAGTTTGGGCGGTGGAACATTTGCTGAGTTAAACAATGACCGAGAGAAAGGAAGTGCTCCCATTTTGGACTTCAACAGAGACCAAAACCAAGAGAGGAATCAAATAGGAGTGGGCTGTTTCATTTGATAGCAGAAACCGTGAGGAGCAAAAGAGAGAAACAGAGTGTGAAGCTTTCTTCCTCCTCCAACCTCAAAACCGTGAGCAAAAGTGCGAGATAGGGAGAGAAATTTGGCTAGCTTCATCACCTGCTAACCATAATCGAAAAACAATAATTGCAAGGAGAAGGGGAGTGAGAATCTGGTGCTAGGAATTGAGGAATCGAAGCAGAGGTTTTGAGCAGTTTGCAATTAGCGGACTTTGGGGGAAAAGAGGTAAGATTCTGTTGAAATTCTCGGCTTATTTAGTGTAATTGGATATATATGAGCTGCATGTTAAGTTTTAGCATGGAAATGAATTTTTGACCGAGGAAAAATTCTGGTTTGAAACTGAGTTTAAAGCTGGAATTTGCCACTGTTATTAACATTTCTCGGGATAATAATGTTAAGAGGTGCATGTAACAGATTTATCTTCAGTTTATAAGGTGAAATATAGCCATAGGAACTTGTGAAAATTGGAACTGCGAGCCTGAAAGAAATCTGATGCAGGCTGCTATGCATTAGGTTTTGCAGCTTTGCGCAGACCTGAGTTTTCGTTCAATTTTTCTTCTAAATTCTGGTCATGAACTGCCCTGTTTTGCTTAGGGTAAATTGTAGTTGAATCAAAACACTCTGTACTATGATTTGGAATAGAAAACTAAGGAGGAACGAAAGGGGGAAAAAAACGAGTTGCAACGTTACTACCTCCTGAACCTGTTGGCTTCGACTGAGAAGGACAGATAGCAAATTTTAGATATTCCCTGCAAACGCGTTAGCTTCTAAACTAACTTATAGAGTTGAAACATGTCATAATGCCTCTAAACCTCAACAAGAAAGACAGAAACGAGTAGGAACTAAACCGAATGTTGAAGGGAGAATAAGTTCAGTGACTGCAGGAAGAGTGGTCGAGAAAATGAAGCAGAATGTGCAACTTCTTGTTTGATATACTGGAAACACTTACTAGCAAACACATGAAATACGTGTAATCTTTTGTCGCAATTGAAAGGTACCTTGCAACCAGTAAACTTAGGAAAGGACTAGCTGAGTTTGGCAAAAGAAAGCTGATGCATTCCGCGGTGATGCTGAGAAGGAGGAAATCAACTCTTGACCAGTTTTCTTCCAATTTCCAACACTATAAACTTTCATAGATGATAGCCAAGGCTGCTTTGTGGTTTAGTAACTATGTTTAGCACTATGAGTAGAGTTAAACTGAGGCAAATAAGGAGGAAAGCTGTGAGTCAAGCTTCTGAATTACATCATGGCCGAGAGAGAGGGAAGAGTTTGATCAGTCTTTCCTTTGAGTTTAGCTACCAATTTTCTACGTTCTGTTTAAGGCCACTTTGTAGCTTAATAAATATGATTTGCCTGTTTAGTTGGAACATGAAATTGAAAGGAAAGATTTGAGAAAATAACCAAATGTTGGGCTGATATATTGCTAGGAAGCTACTTGAAGGCCATGATAGCTGATGGCAGTTTTTGGTAGGGGAATTTGGTTAACTTGCTGAAACTATGAGTCATGTACCTTAATTCATGGTGGACAGAATGTGTATTGTGTTTGGTGACCTAGGCAAGTAAAAGATAGAAACTCTACCAAAAACTTTGAAGTAAGGTTGCTGGAAATTTGTTTAATGGTCACTCTCATGTGATATTTGGAAAATTTCATGATAATTGGCTGCCATCTTGAGTGAGACGTTGTACAATATCCTGTCCCTGTTCTTATGTGCACCCTATTGACTTTTAACATTTGAAAGACTGGTAAAACCTTAGGGAATTCTAGCTAAAACTAGTAAAGAAAAGCGGAGATCCAAACTATTATATTGTTGGAGAAACTAACGTTTGATGGAATGGATTGCTGGAAATAGATGCTGCTTGCCTTGATCTATGCTAGACCAAAAGTACATTGAAATACTTAAAACTATAAGCAAGTAAAAGAGTGAAGTTTTATTGAAAACTTGAAGTATACAGCTGGAATTTTGGTTTGTTGGTTGAAATGAGGGTTAGTTAAGCTTTCTATGTTATTTTTGGAAACTCTAAGGTAACTAGTTGTAGCTATATACATTAAACGGCTTCTAACCACTTAATCTTGCCTTCATAAACATTTTAAAGACTTTAGAACTTGAGGGGGCTGGTTTTGTCAAACCAAATCTAAACTACAAACAACTTAGAATCCGGTTTAGTTTAAAAAGGAACGAATGAAGTGTTCATAGGGCATAATCATTAAATATTGAATTGAGCAAGATATAATCTTGGTTTAAACAGACAAGACTATAAACTTGGAATATGTATATTTTTTGTTTAAAATGATAAAGTTGATAAGTTTGGAGATAAAATTTAAGAAAAGGTTGGATATATTATATCTCGTATTTTAAAGCCAAAACTTGACTTTAATAAGTTTAAATTATAAGGTAACAAATGATAAGTGATTATCTATGAATTGTATCTTCATTTTAGAGTTATAAATTTATCTCAGGGGGTAGCTGTGAGCCAGAAAACAACCCCAGGTTCGAGAGTAATTTATTTGGAATTTGGTGAGTGTTTCCGAATTTATGTGTTTAACTGTTTATGGTTACTTAAGTGAAATTATGTGATAAGTGTACATATTATGAAATATTGTTAAGTGATTCATTGTAAAGTGTATCTCAATTGTCCTTCGCCCTCTAAGTCGAGAGTGTACTTTATCGCACTTGACTTAGTTAAGTTTGAAGGTTGATAATTGACTCAATGTTACTGTAAGTGTGCATAAATATAAGCCGTATGTGTACTTTACCGTATTGGCTGAACTGGGCCCCAAAATCCTTTGTTCAACAAACTATTCGAGCTAGCAAAGGGCTTGGTCGGATAGAACGGAAGCTTTGGGTAAATATTTCGGTATACTCGAGTATTACTCTGAAGTTAGGAGATCATTGAACTAATTATTGAATGTAGGGGATTGTTTATTGTTTTAGAGGACATAAGGAGGTGAATGGGCGGAGTGTGCAATGATATTGAAATGCATGTACAATCACAATGAAATGAATGTCTCACGACACTGCAATGACTATACAGTGATGTTGAAATGATTCCTAGAAAGAGTTTGTATCCTTTTGAAAGTAACTATACAGTGAAATGTTCATTACTTGCTTAATTTTACCGGTTCAAATGTTTATTGAATGTTACTTGTTCTGCAAACCTCACTGAGTTTTAACTCAACCCTTTAGTTTTGTTTTCCTTACAGGAGTTGGTGGTCGGGAAACAAACGAGAGAGCTTAGGGTGTTAACATGAAGTCTTCGTGATTGTAAATTATCTAGTATCATACCACGGCTGAAGTTTTGTATTAAACTTGGCATAGTAAAAGATTTGAACGTGTGGTTTTAGTATACCACAATATTATCTCTAAAGTTAATGTAAGATTGATGAGAGTTTATCAAATGTTATCTCTGAAGTTAATGTTAGTGAATGATTCCTGGCGAGAGCCAGGCGGGCGGTCCGCTAACTTCTAGGGTATGCCCTAGGAAAAGATGGGGCCATCACAAGAAAGCCTTAGCATATTCACCCACTTGTGTTGCATCCCGATCCTTGCCTGCGAATAATGCCTAGTTCCTGCTTTTCCAAATCATCCACATGGTTACCACAATGAGTTATGCTATTTCTTTACCATGAACCTTCAAGAAACAGTCAAACCAGTCCTTAAAGTTTGATGCAGCAGGCTTGCAAATTGCTTTCAGCATCCCCATTCTCGACCAGACTTCCTGAGCAAAAACACAATAAAAAATATATATGCTTATCGGTCTCTTGATCATAGTCACACCAATTGCAGCTCAGTACACCTTTCTTAAGCCTATCTGATAAATTCTGCCTCGTAGGCAAAATACCAGAGCATGCTCGCCATACAAAGATTCTGACCTTTGGAGGGATGTTCAAGTTCCAAATTTTAAGCCAGAAAGACTTCTCATTACTGCTGGATGATGCCCCCTCCCCATCTTCTTCCAACCTCTGCAAGGTCCTTGCTAAATGGTACGCTGACTGTACGTCAAATTCCCATTTTTATTATAATACCATACTATCTCATCCTTAGCCCACCATGGGGAGAGAGGAATTTTCTGAATAATCTATATCTCATAACTTAAGAATAGAGCGTAAAGCAAGTCCAGCCTCTAACCACCAGAATGGCTGTCAATTAAGTCACATACTCTAGTGTTTGGCCATAGAGTTTTTGAGCATTGTGACACCCGGAAGGATGGAGAACAGGGTAACCAAGGATCATCCCAAACCTTTATATTTGAACCATCACCCACTCGCCATACCATTCCTCTTTGCACTAAGCTTCTTCCTTCTAATAAACTCTTCCATAGATAAGACGAATTGCTCCCTAATTTGGTATTCATGAAATCTGTCTTAGCAAAATATTTGGCCTTTAAAACTCTGGCTGCAAAAGAATTAGGATTTTTAATTATCCTCCATCCTTGTTTTGCTAATAAAGCAAGATTAAAGGCTTCTATATCTCTAAAACCCAAAACTCCTTCGGATTTTGATTTACATATTTGTTCCCATTTCAGCCAACACATTTTCTTTTCCTTCCTCTCTGACGCCACTAAAAGTTTCGAATTAGAGATTTAACGTCAGCGCATAGTGTTTTTGTGAGCTTGAAGCAAGACATCACATAAGTGGGAATAGCCTAGGCCACTGCCTCGATTAACACCTCCTTTCCAGCCTGCGTTAAAGTTTTTTCCTTCCACCCTTTAAGTTTTTTCCAAACTCTTTCTTTAACAAGACCAAAAATCTCAATTTTGGACCTACCAACCATATATGATAATCCCAAATAAACCCCTTTCCCATCATCATCTTGTACTCCTAGCAGACCACAAAGTTGTTTGTGTTTCTTTAGGCATGTTGCTATTGCAATATAGCCGAGATTTTTGAAGTTCACCTTTTGTCCTGATGCTTTCCCATAAATCTGCAATACCTCCATGATTGCTTGGATACTCCTCTCATCAGCTTTAGCAAAGAACAGACTATCATCTACAAATATCAGATAAGAAATTGAAGGACCTTCTCTTCCCATTTTAATCCCACTCCATAAGCCCTGTCTCTCCATCTTTCGGATAAGTGACGAAAGTCCTTCTGTACACGAAATAAATAGGTAAGGCGAGAGAGGATCGCCCTGATGCAATCCTCTCATCGGCTTAAAAAAATCTGTATGACCACCATTAATAATAATTGAGTAAGAAACTGAGCGTACACACTTCATGATTAAATTGCACCATTTTTTAGGAAAACCAGTAGCGTGTAACATATATTCAAGAAACTTCCATTCAACACGATCATATGCTTTACTCATATCAAGTTTTAATGCCAAAAAACTATCTTGTTGCTCGCTCCTATGCTCCAACCAATGGAACATCTCAATAGCTGCCATCACATTATTCGTAATCAATCATCCTTTAACAAAGGCACTTTGATTGTCACTAATAATATATGGCATCACACGTTTCAAGCGATTGGTCAAAGTTTTTGTGATCAATTTGTATGCTACATTGCACAAATTGATAGGGCGGTAGTCAGATATCATAGAAGGGCTTTTGATTTTAGGTATTAACACAATATTAGTTAAATTCAATTTACCTAAATTTGCACCACCATTAAGGACTGAGAGTGCCATTTCCTTCACCACTTTCCCAACAATCCCCCAATATCTCTGGTAAAAACTAGCAAGAAGGCCGTCAGGTCCTGCTGCTTTCCATGGGTGCATTTGCTCCAGCGCATCAATGATCTCTTGGTTAGAAAACTCCTTCATGAGCTCCAATTTCAGCTCCTCATTTAATTTTTGATCAATAATATTTGCATATAACTCCACCTCCTCACCATCTGAAGAGAAAAGTTTTTGATAAAACCCCAAAATATGTTGCTCAATTTGTTCGTCAGTGCTTAGCCATTCTCCACTATCCAGCTGAAGGCTCTCAATAGCATTTCTCATTCTTCGCTGGCTGGCTTTATGGTGGAAATAAGAAGTGTTTCAGTCACCTTCTGTTAGCCAAGAAACTCTTGATCGTTGCTTCCAATAAAGTTCTTCTTGCTCCAACAGTGAGTCAATCTCCTTTTTAATATGGAACTCTTTTGTTATTTGATGAGAGGAGTTAAATTGAACGGCTTTGAGCTTGTTAGAGACCTTTTTAATCCGTGCCTTTAAATTTCTGAACTTTCGTCTTCCCCATGGCTATAAAGCGGCCACAGCTTGCTGTGCACAGGAAACCAAGGAAGCAATAGGATCTCCTACACCAACCCATACCAATTTTCAGTCAATATTCTTTCACACTCCGTATCACCTATCCATAGCTACTCAATTTTGTGGGACTTCCTCCTTCTTCTCTTATTGTTGAAAGCACTTAAACTGTAGTTAATAGCGATGCAGATTGGAGTATGGTCCGACCAAGAAGAGGAAAGATGATGTACCATGGACGCTGGGAAGAGAGAGTGCCACTCAGGAGAAGCCACAGTCCTGTCCAACCTTTCACAAATACGATGATTAGGATTCCTACCTCTTGCCCACGTGTATTGAGAACCCTTGAAGCCTAAACCTTTAAGCGTCTCTTATATTGTGAGCTCTTTCATTGTCTAATCCTTTTTTATGTGCCCATGTGCTCATTTGGTATTCAGACTGCTTTTTTGCCACGTGTTATCCATCCAATTGCATTGGTACTACTTTTTCATATTCTTTTCACATCAGTTCTTTTCACTATCTAATCTGCATTAAATACATCCACTTGATTGTTTGGTACTTACGCTTCCCTATCACCGTTCATGATATACTTACTCTTATTCCTCCTACTTTCCTATCCATCCGATCTCTGCTGCCGCCAAGTTTCGCGTTTATTCAGCCTCATTATTTCGCTTGTTTCCGTCGCAATATCTTTCATAGCTGAGCTTCTTCATTTTTGTTATATTGCAACTTCATCTCGCTCCTGTTTTTCCCTATTTTGCTGTGTCTTTCTTCCTGCAACTTCTAGCTGGTAAGTTAGTCTTTGATTCTTAGTTTTCTTCTATAAATCCTTCTTTCTATTTAACAATTAGTTTACTTTTACCTACATCGTTTATATATCTCCTCAATCAGCGTTTTTATTGCATTAATAGCTCGTTTGTCTTTCTGCTTCTTACACCTTCATCAAACATGCATTTTTATCGTTATATGCTATTACTCCTATTTATGATGATGCATTTATATCTCTCATGCATACTTTTTTCTCATAACAGATTGCTTGCTTTTTTGGTCATGCTTTTTTTTTTAGCAGTATTGTTGATGCTTTTATCCATTATATTATACCATTATAATTTCCATGTCATGTACGTCTTATTTTCTTGGCTGTCTTTTGGTAACAGCCTTTTATACTATCGCTTGCATCGACTATTTCAGCAAAAAAATCTGCTATGTTCCATCTTAAAAATTGATGTCCATGATGGCTCTTTAATTTTTGATCTTTGTTTCTTATGTTCATTGCATGCATGATGCTTTTATGTTTCACGACATCTCATTTCATTCTAAATTGTTTTTGCTCATTCTGATTGATAATGTTGTTATAGTTTTTTCCCTCTACTTTTCATTTCGCTTTACTGTACATTTTTATATATTTTAATTGCAAGCTTTTCTGCCTTCTCCTCCTTGTTGCATTCCTTCTTAGTTTTTCCGTATCGGATAGAAGGTGACAATATCATTTTATATCGCCCCTGGTCTCTTATATAAACTTTATATCCTACTACCTAATATAAAGTTCCTATGCCCTTATTCGCGTGTTATCTTTTATATTCCTTTCTAGCTCTATAGTAATTATCATTTCCGTAGTCTCACATTTCTCACTCTTCCTTAGTTGATTGATTGACTATCATATATAATCATTGATGCCGTTAATTATAGGATATATTTTTGTGTGTTCATTGCTTTTATTTAGTATGCCTCGAAAGCGTACATTTTGCTCTGAAGATGAATACCGCATCGAAAATAATTGACACCGACGAGACAGATATCCTACAGAGATAGTTAGACGACACCAGCATGCTACACAGATAGCCAACAAAAAAATTAGGCCTGTCAATCGGGCCTAATGAGCCGGACTTTGATGAGTTCAATCTCAGCTCATTTAATTTGAAACATTTTCGGGTTTCGGGCTATGAGTTTCGGATTCGTAAATGTGAAGCTCATACTCAACTCACATAATATTCGGGTTGTGAGCCTTAATCGGGCTTAACCCAAACTCACTTATTACTCCTTAATTTTCTTAATATAATTACTATAACTATTAAGTTGTAAAACTAATTTAACATTTACAAGACTATAATATTAAAACTAAACATGAACAAATAATAGTTCTTAAAAAGTATATAAACCAAAAATTTTTTCAACAATATTTATATTTAATCCATTTAAAATACATGAAAAATAGTAATAAAACATGCGATCATAAGCCAATACATCTTTAAAAGTTGAAACTTTTTTTTATAATCTTGTGATTTAAATCCAAATATGCTTGATGATTTTTGTGTTTGTAGACCAAAAAAAAATCAACCAATAATATGTCAATACAAAAATTTACTCAACCAATAAGAAAAATTAGAGATTTAGTTATGCATTACTAATATTGGCTCTCAAGAAAGCTCATGAAAGAGTCTTTAGATGTATTTTTGTGTTTTGTAATTTATATATATTTAGTATTTAGTAAAAATATATTTTGATATATAATTATACATAATATCAAAATATAAATATTATATATATAGGTAATTAAAGGGTCGGGCCTATATCGGGTTTGAGCCTAATAAGGCCCAAACTCGGCTCACATTTAATTTGGGCCTAATTTTTAGGCTCAAACTCAGACCGGCTCACTAAATGATCGGGCTCATCGGGCTTTCTGTCTGGCCGAACGAGCCGAGCTCGGGCTGACCCAACCCCATTGACAGTCCTAAAAAAAATAGAATCTGTTGTGCTTCATCCAACCCATAGTGTTAATGTTACAGATGTTCCTCCCGTCCCTATTTCTTTAAACATGAGCACCATTTAATTGATGTCCCTATTTATACCGCTGCATCAGAAGCCACCAGTTCTTTGCCTGATCAGTCTCCTGATGCTCTTCTGCCATCTTCATCTTTTGTTCCAAGTCCCTCCTCGTACTTTCCTTTTCCGTGCTATGCAGGCTTCTCACGTAGTAGACAGCTTATCTACATCAGTTATATCTCAGATTGATCCATGTATCCATTTGCTTCTTCATTCTTTCATATAATTTTTCTCCCTCCTTACTGTTCATTTGAATAATATCCAAAATTCTGATTCTTTCATTCACACACACACACACACACATATAGACAATCTTCCTGCAGTAAATGATCCTGTCTTACAAGACCTTTTCATTTCGCCAACATTTGATGCTAACATTCAGTGGTTCAATCGTCCCATTTATACCTGTACATTTTCTGTCTATTTTAATAACCTCGATAACTGCTGAATACTATATCATTATAATAGATATCCATATTGCATTTTGGTTTTCTATTAGTTTTATAGCTGAAATTATACTGATCAACTTTCAGCACAGTTAACGCTAATAACAGAACCATCGAATTCATGCTCACCTATCCAAAATCAAAGTGGTGCGGCAACAGTTTTTAATAGTATTTCCATCAATTTTATCTCTTTATAAATAATAAAAAGTTTTTCTATGCTCCTATTATAGCTCATCAAAATTTTTATTCAATGCTTTTAGCTCCCATGCGCTGCAGAAAAAATACACCATTGCTCCAATAGATACCATTAGAACCAACCATCCTGCCATCTGTTCCAGATTGTCCACATTGTCATGCTAAACGCTTTTATATAGAGCTGCCAAGATTTTGTTGTGCATCGAGAGAAGTTCGTCTAGTAGAAACAAAAATGCCGGATAAGCTACTGCAACTCTATAGGGGAAATACTCCTGAAAGTATTGAATTCAGACAATGTATCAGGAGTTACAACAATATGTTTACTTTCACATCATTGGGAGTTCACTATGACAGAGAGCTAAGCAAAAGGAACAAAGGCATCTACACATTTCGAGTTCAGGGACAGGATTTATCATTTTGTGAATTCACTGAAACTTTCTGCTGGTGAAAAGGCATCGAACCTCCAACTCTATTTTTATGATACGTAACATGAGATACAGAATAGAATGGCTCTGTCAAGCAAATTCAGGGAATCGATTGTTCAGCAAGTAAAATCTGTCCTTGATGACAACCCTTATTCTGTCTTTATTCGAAATTAGCAGACATTAAAGACCTCAATAAATATAAAATTTATCTCAAATCCAATCCTGGATTAGATCAGCGTGTTTTCAATGTTCCTTTAGTGTCTCAAGTTGCAGCAATTTGGTCGGACAACGATATTGTTAGTGTAGACATGTCAACAGAAATTAAAATCTGTTCAAAAACAAGAACTAGAAAAATAGTTAAGTAATATTATGGTTGTTATGACACATTACAGTATCCACTGATATTTTCTCGTGGAGAGACTGGATGGCATCCTGGAATTCTTAGAAAAACAAAAACTCAGATTCTTCAATAGTCTCATCAGACTTGTGAAAAGGAAAACTTGGTTTCTATCAATCAATGCACTGATATAGAACAACTATTTACTGTAGAGCAAACAGGAATAATTGCATTTACAAAGATTTACGTTTTCTGCTTCTTATTTACTCTGATATACAATCAACCTGATTCTTACATTTTTCTAATGTTAACAGTTGCAAAAAAGAAAAAAAGACAAAGACCAACTGTCTCGTGTAGAGAATATTATGCTTACAAAATTCGGATGCGAGATGGAGATCAATCAAACTTGCTACATATCGGCCATTTATTACAACAATATTCTATTGATACCTATGTCAAGTTAGAGGCATCACGCCTTGAATTTCACAGAAGTAAACAAAACAAATTGAAGACAGAAGCTTATCAAGGATT